AAGAAAAATAGAGAAAAATGAAAAGAGTTGTAGAAAAAAAAAAAAAAAAAGAAGTGCAAGGAAGATGAGCAATAGCGAACTTCAGCAATCCAACAGCATCATACACATGAGACCAGATAGTTGTGACCTCGAACCAATAGCAGAATTGCATCACGAGTTTCACCAAACAAGAGTACACCAAAAGCTCATAATTTTCAATGCTGGAATAGTCTCATCATCATCATCAACGAAGGACCAATGTTGATATCCTATCTGGCGCTCGGCGCCCAGACTACAGATGGCAGATCCTATCTAGCCTACTCTACAATGCCGCTGATGACGTCAACAGCTCCCCGAAGTACGAGCAGATCTCGGCCAATGCCACACGCTTCAAGCACCAGGTATGTCTCTCGTATCAATCACAACCTCGTTCCCCAACTCACAGATGCCACTTGCACCCATGGACCACCATGCGCCCCATCCAGCATACAGCAGCGCAGCTCGGCTATGGCTGCCTGATCCTCCCAGCTCGCCCGTGAGCGCGTGAGCCTGGCAGGCGATAGCGCAGCAGCGCTTGCGCACAAAGCAGCCAGTGCCCGAATGTCCAATGCGTAGGCAGGCCCTTCCCTATATCGAAGTGGCCTGCGGCTGCGTGCTGTGCTGCGGTACTGGGCCCCGGTCCAGAAGCTTCCGGTAGGCCCAGGGAGGCTGAGTCTCAGTCCGAAGTCAACAGGCCCAGGGCCTGTGGTGGTTACCAGCACCCAACTGCCCTCAGCCTTTGTCGGTCCACTTTGTGTATCCGGCCCAGGGCCTGCCTCAGTTACATGCAATGCAAGGCAGCCTGGGCCTGGGCACTTCCAACCGACTGGCACTGCGCAACTGCCTGAATTTCCCCAGTTGCGTAGTAGTCCAAAATAGGCCTCTTGAGGTCTGTCGAGCCTGCCTTCACTTAGGGCAGCCGACGCTTGTTGCAAGTAGGGGCCCAGTAGGGCTTATCGAGGCCTTGTGCCTCGCAAAAGGCTCCAGAAGAACCAGAACCCCAAACAACCCCTTCAACACCCCCATAGCCCACCCCAACACCCCCATACACCCCCCACAACACCCCCATACCGCCCCCTAACATCCTCATACCCCCCCCCTTACCCCCCTACAAGCTCCCTATAACCCCCACCACCCCCAAAAAAAATATTGAGGATTTGGGCTGTTTTCCTCAACCCTCGCACGACCATGTGATAGAAAAAAATAAAAAATTGCAAGGCAGTCTGCCGACCGCCGATGGGTCCGCCTACGGGTTGGCCCGACTGGTAGACGAGCCTACCGCCTACCGTAGGCGTTGGCGGTAGGCACCAAAACTACCCTGGTATGCCCCTTAATTTGAAGAGTGTGTAGTACTGTGTTAAGTCTTCCTTTTTTGTTCCGCCGTAACGCCGTTTTTGTTGTTGTTGTTGTTGTTGTTGCTGTGGTGGTTGTGGTGGTGGTGTTTGTGGAGCAGACATACACCGGCAACATCTTGATTGCCGTAAATCCTTTCCAGAAGATGCCTCATTTGTTTGGGACACACATGATGGAGGAATATAGAAATGCGCGTCTGGGGGATCTGAGTCCTCATATTTTCGCTGTTGCTGATGCAGCGTATAAGTGAGTCTCTAGACTCTCTACACTGTGTCAACACTCCCCTTTCTTTTTTTTAAATCTAGGCTGCCAGCCGGGCCACCCGGGTCGCCTTATTTTCCCGGGTGGCCCTGCCGTGCAAGGACCAGGGAAGGTCCCAGAAAAAAAAAAAAAAAAAAAAAAAAACAAAAAAAAAAAAAAAAAAAAACTATGTTATGCAGAAAAATAAGCTGAACAACTCTTGCCGCAGGGTTACATCGAAATTCTTGACCAAATTTAAAATAAAAATGAAAAATAAAAAAGTTTTAATTTTTTTTGGCCCGACCGGGCAAGTGGTCCCGGACCACTCTGGTAGCCTGTTTTAAATGTAAAAAAAAATTGGACCTGTCCTTGATTCGTGTGTGTCATCCTTGCAAACAAGGGCTAGATTTTTCTGCTCTGCACGCTTCCAATTTCTTAAACGGACGAACACCATGTCAACGCTCGTCATAACATAGTTTCGAACTTTCGAAGTCTGGACTAAACAAGAGCTATATGGTATCCGTCCGTTTAAGAACTTGGAAGCGTGCAGAGCACAAATGCAGCGAAGTTAAGCATGGTGTTCAGTTGGGGAAGCTGTGCTGTTATGTGGTGTTGTCTTGTGGGTTGTGGTTTGGCTGGTAGCATGTGAATTGGCTTTGATAAAATAGGGCTGGGGCGAAATTGGCTGTTCAATGGGGTCCAAAAAACAGCAGGTTGATGGCCAAATTAGCCGTTTATCGGTCTATTGTGGTCCGTAACAGCGGGTTGACAGCCAAATAAGACGTCAATTGTGCTATGGTGCTCCATAACAGCTGTTTGATGGCCAAATTGGCTGGCAGCTCAATGGGCTAATGTGGTCCCAAACAGCGCTTGTGTGTACATTTGCAATGGTGAAATCGTCCGTTCAATAGGCTATTGGGGTCCATAACAGCGACCATGTGTACATTTGTGCATTCCTTTTTATGCTGTAACTTTAGTCCGTAAATTTCATTATCAAGTTCCATATCATGCGTGTTTTTTTCTCCCTCCTTCAATGGCAGTGCAATCAGACTCGTCTCATTCACACCTTTCATGCATGTAAACAGCATTACAGCAAACTGGCGACATGCGCCCACACAGAACTCAGAGATATGGTATCCAGATAAGAGTTCACTTTCACTGGCTATGGCGACTCAGCGCCCAACAACTCACTGTTCACACCCACCGGATCACCCTGGATATCCCACACGCGACACGCTGAACACTCACACAACACACACACACTTCACTCTAACTACAACTATGGCAGCGATGGCTGCCTCTACCCTATTGCTATGGCTGCACTTCGTCTCTCTCGTCCACTTCGACTTCGGGCTGCTGCAGACCTCCTCGCACAAGCCGCTGAGACAGCGCTTCCGCATGGCTTCCGCAGGAATGAATGAATGGCTGTGCGCGGCCTCTTGATTTATACTTCTGTGACTCGTCGGTCTGCCCCTTTTCCCTGGCCCATGGTGCACACAGTCCCAGGCGGTACTTGCTTGACTGGACCGGACTGACTGGACTGGGACTGCTGACTCTGCACGGTGGACTTCCACCACTTGCCCACTTGCCTCTGCCTAAACGTGGGCAACCTCGAAAGGCCACCACCGGGCCCTTCTAGAAGGCCGTGGACTTGGCCTTTCGGTCCTCTCGCAGCTACGACCTTGACTTTTCAGGACTGGACTAGCTACGACCTTGACTCTTCGAGAAGCCTATAGCTACGACTTCTAGACCTGGCTGGACTTCTACTGGACAGGTCTACAGATCGAACCCCGACGGCCTACGGACCCTACGACGACCTACCAACTGTTACAAATACACAGGTCACGGGTTCAACTCCACGGGTCAACACAGGTACTGTACACAGGTAAGGTGGGGACTAGGGATCGAGCCCTGGGATCTGCATCAGCTACTGCGAACTGGTGAATACCATTTCCCTCCCGCCGGCCTAAATTCGAGGTCCTCCGAGAATACTTCAGTCCAAGGCAGGACCTTTACCTTTTCTATCCCTCTCGTAGGCTCGGACTATGTCGGGAGCTGTTTCTAGAAGTTCAGTTCTGGTGAACCACCGGTCTTCTGGTTCCTGATATGCAAATCTGACTTTATACTGTTTTTGAGGACGACCTCTATCTCCTGTTCTAAACACGTCTTCACCTACAACGCCGTCAATGTCGAACCTCCCATCCATGTCTGGAGGGATCATGGATCGTCTAGATGGAAACTGGTAACTTACTGTGCATGGCAACAACTTTGACGCATGGAAAACTGGGTAGGTGTGAAGGTGTACTGGAATCTCGATGGTGTAGGACGGCCCATCTTCTCCGCCCTTGACTTCTAGAACTGGCCACGGTCCTCTGTATGCAGGCAGCAACTTTTGCGAGATGTTTTCCTCAGGAGCAAACTCTTTAGCCTTGACCCAGACTAAGTCGCCTACTTGGAACTGTGAGGGGCGACGATGTTTGTTGGCTTGTTCTATCATTCTATGTTGGGCCTTCCTGAGGTTCTCTACAACAGTAGCTAGTTCCTTCTTGTGATGTATAGCGAACTCCCTAGTACCGGGTGGTAGCCTATGAATCTGATCCCGGTTAAGTCCTTCAAACGGTCTGCGCGGTCTAAGGGACTTGTGCAGTTCGTTGGGAGTGCGGCATGTAGACAAATGCACACTATTGTTATAGGCACTGGCTACCTTGGGGAGCATATCGTCCCAATCAAGTTGATCTGGTCTAATGTACATCGTCAGAACTTGCTGCAGGATCTTATTCATCTGTTCAATCTGACCGTTGGTCTCTAGATGACCGCCATACGACATTAGCAACTTAGAGCCATAGACTCTCATCAACTCCTGCCAGTCTTGACTCCTGAACTGGGTGTCTCTATCACTAACTATGGACAATGGGACCCCGTGCTAACTGACCCAATGATCAAAGAACTTACGGATCACTAACTCGGTCCGTGCCTCTGAAGGCAAAGGTATAAAAACAACATACTTCCTAAATCTATCAACTATCACCATGACTTGGCTCTTGCCATGCCTACTCTAGACGCCCGCGTCCATGAAGTCGATGGACACCGAATCCCCTGGTTGATCGCGAATAGGCAAGGGTTTGAGAAGACCTAGTGGGGCACGCGTAGTAGTCTTATTTCTCTGGCAAACTTTGCAACTGCGGATATACTCTAAGCAGTCATTCTTCATTCCCGACTAGGTGTACGCGTGCATTAGATTGGCTAGAGTCTTTTGCCAACCAAAATGACCCTCTGTGTTGTGACACTCTCCCAAGATCAGGCTACGGATCTCCTCACTATTGGGAATGCACAAACGGTCAACTACGTTAGTCTTCTCAAATAACAGTTCGTCGGTAGTGCGGTAATCGGGCTCGGTCTTTGGGGCCTCCTTTACTCTCTTGAGGAGGTCACTATAGATAGGGTCTTGCGCATACGCCTCTTTAACCCTTTCCTGCAGGTCTCTCCCTATGTCCAGATTTTGAACTATGGCTCCAAAGTAGTCAGCTCACCTACTCAAAGCGTCCGCAACTACATTATATTTCCCTTGGACTGGCTTGAGCTCAAAATCATACTGGTCTATTTCTGCGGCCCACCTAGTGAGCTTAGGTGTCATCTTGGCTTGCGTTTTTAACCATCTTAACGTCTCGTGGTCAGAATAGACTTTGAAGTGCCTCCCAAGCAAGTAGTGCTTTCAGTGTTCTAGCGCTTGCCTGAGAGCGTAGAGTTCCCTCTCATAGGTAGATGTCGCAACCTTCTCTGAAGGCATCCTAGCAGACATGAACTCTACGGGCCTATAACCGTTGCCATCGTCTTGCTGCAGAACAGCACCTATGTCGTACTGACTGGCGTCCGTAGTGACGACAAAGGGTAAGGACGGATCGGCCACCTTAAGGACTGGATATTCTATCAGGGCCTGCTTCAACTTCTTCATGGCAGACGTGCAGTCCTTATCCCACTTCCAGATGGTTTCTTTCCTTAGCAACCTGCGAAGGGGCGCAGCGATAGTGGAAAAGTTCCTTACGAACTTCCTATAATAATTCGCTAGGCCTAAGAATGACCGCAACTCTGTCAACGTACGCGGTGTAGGCCAATCCCTGATCGTCGCAATCTTATTATCCTCTATCTTGATGTCGTCTCCGTCTAAGACGTGGCCCAAATACAAAACTTGGGTCTTCGCCCATTCGCACTTCTTTGCGTTGATCTTGAAGTTAGCTTCTCTGAGCTTCTCCAAGACCTGTCTGAGATGACCCTGATGCTCTTGGAGGGTCTTACTAAACACTAAGATGTCATCCAAGTAAACTGCAACAAACCTATCTAACCAAGGCCTAAACAGGTCGTTCATGCATCGCTGAAAAGTCGCTGGCGCGTTTGTTAGTCCAAAGGGCATCACGATGAACTCGTAGTGCCCGTACCTAGTCCGGAAAGCTGTCTTGTACCGATCATCAGGATGAACCTCTATCTGATGATATCCGGACTTAAAATCTATCTTCGAAAAATATCTGCACCCCTGCGCTCGATCCAGAAGATCATCTATCCTAGGCAGTGGCTCAGCATTCTTTACTGTGATAGCATTCAGACCCCTATAGTCTATGCACATTCTAAGCTCTCCTTCCTTCTTGGGGACAAATAGAACAGGTGCTCCAAATGGAGACGAACTGGGCCTAATCCAACCCTTCTCTAGGAGCTCGTCTAGTTGCTTGCGCAGCTCCTCTAACTCCCGCGGAGACATCCTATACACTGCTCCTTTGGGGGTCCTACTGCCAGGCTCAATCTCAATGCGGTGCTGGATAGGCCGCGATACTACTCCTGTCGGCGGCTTCGCTAGGTCTGTGAACTCTTCCAGCAGTTTGGCAATAGTAGGGTCTATAGGTTTCTCTTCCTTAGGCTCAGTGACTGGCCTAACATAGGCTACAAAAACTTGTTCCTGTAGCTGCTCCTTTTTCACTAATCTTGCGAACGCAGGAGCGCTAAGGCAGCAATGCGCT